TTGGTTGAATCCCAAAATTGAAAATTTATTTCAAACAAACCCTAATTCTATAGAAAAAGAAGAGATTAGATAGATGATCAAGGAAAGCAGATAATAATGTTCTGAGATATATATTTTTTCTTTTTTCACATAGATCAAATTAAACCGGCGTTTAATAGAGACAAATTGAACCAGAAGTAGGAAGACAGACATTATGAAAACCAGTTATCAATGAAATCGGAGAAGATTGGTGAATCACACATAAACCGGAGAAAACTCGAGAATTCCGGCTTGGAAGATCTTAAGCTGGCTTTTTAAAAAAATAGAGTTGGGCCTTAAAAAGCCCATGTTGGAGAAACGAAACGGCAACGTTGCCAAAATGGCGGGAAAAAGAGTTTTGAGGTTTTTATTTTCGCGGAAGGCTCTAAAATTTAGCAGATTTAATTTAAATTTATTTTCTACTCGCCGTCGAGGAAAATCGGTGGTTCCGTTGCCGGAGTCGAAAACCCATCTCTCTCTCTTTGAAGATGAAGGATCTCGAATTGGAGAAACTTCGATTGCTAAGCTTAGCTACAAAGGTCGGATTCGACGAAGATTCCGCGAAGAAATGTTTGGATCGATTCGTCTCTCTCTACGGTACCAAATTCGAATATATGCTCTAATCGATTTTCTGGGTTTGTTCTTAATCTGAATGTTATTTGTAATTGGGTTAAAAAGGTGATGATGGTCGGGATTTCATTACTGTTGAGTACTGTGGAGATGATTTTATTGCGGCTTTAGCTGATTTTGAGAAAGGAACGGAGGAGTGGGATGATATACAAGCTATAGAGTCTGAAGCTCAAGGAACATTAGCTGAAATGTTTGATAAAGCGAATGGATTCGAGACCGATGATGATGGTTCAAGAGTCGAAGTTCATGTCATTGAGGATTCTCCTGAGCCTAAGAAAAAACCGCAAGTGTTGGAGTTGGATTCTTCTAGTGATTTGGAAGATGATGATACACTTTTCAAAGCTACAACGAGATCACAGACAAGTTCCAGAAACCACTCTTTGAGATCTATGGTAATATATAACATTGCACTTTACATCTTGAACTGCGTTTTCAGTAACAAGCTTGTATTGGTCTTCTTGAATTAGAAATTTATGATGATTTGTGTTCTGCTTTGGAGGAATATTCAATGGAAGATTCAGTTTCAGGAAGAAACCATTCTGTACAACAGATGGACCATGAAACCCCGAGTTACGAAGAGTTGCAGGCGTTGGATGATCTGGAATTTGCAAACTTGGTGATTTTCGGTAACAAGGCGTTTAGGCCCCTGCAGCATCAAGCGTGTAAAGCATCTATGGAAAAGAAGGATTGCTTTGTTCTAATGCCTACGGGAGGAGGGAAAAGTTTGTGTTACCAGGTCATTTGATCTCTTACCTCTCTACCTCTAGGTTCTCGAATGCGTGATTTGAATTCTGTTTTGGAATAGTTTGTCCAATAATCATTAGTTTATACTGCCAAAGGCTGCATACTAAATTTCTGTCTGTTTTTGTTTGTTTGTTTTACAGCTTCCTGCAACACTAAAAGCTGGAGTTACCATAGTTATATCTCCTCTGTTGTCCCTCATACAGGATCAGATAGTTGCGCTGAACCTTAAGTACGGGGTACCAGCGACTTTTCTGAACTCTCAGCAAACAACTTCCCAAGCAGCAGCTGTATTACAAGATCTCAGGTGAAAATCCTCTCTCCATTTCTTTCAGTTTCACATTGTCTAAGTATTCAGGCCTCATTTACTCTTTTTCCTTTCTTCTCTAATGGAGATCTAATCATTTAGATGGTTAAAAAGCTTATGTGTGCATTGACATTTTGCTTGCAGAAGAGATAATCCTTCATGTAAACTCTTATATGTGACACCTGAGAAAATCGCTGGAAGTTCCTCCTTTTTGGAGACACTAAGATGCTTAGACCACAAGGTAGCATGTTGAGTTTTTAGTATTGTTTTGCATAATTGATATAAAAAAGTTTCCAGCTCTAAGGAAAATATTAAACATCTTCCTCTATTAACAACAGGGACTACTGGCAGGTTTTGTGGTTGATGAGGCTCACTGCGTGAGGTACAGAATTGTTCTACCTTTCTTTCACATACATTATATCTTTGATCTGCATGAATATTCTCTGATTGTTCATCATCGAAACCTTAATATTGAAACTCGATTTCTGCCTGGAGCCTGAGGAAAATTTCCTTATGATCTACATGAATGTACTGTTTTTTCATTTCTTCCAGCCAATGGGGACATGACTTCCGGCCAGACTACAGAGAACTTGGATGTCTTAAGCAGAACTTTCCCCGTGTTCCCGTGATGGCTCTTACAGCCACGGCAACTGAATCAGTATGTGAGGTAATAAGCATCACTGCAGAACGTACTAAAAAACAATCTTACTTAACACATTATCGCCATTTTGATTATATTTTCCTCTCTGCAGGACGTACTAAAAAGTCTGAGAATTCCCATGGCTCCGGTTCTCAAGATGAGCTTTGACAGAACCAACTTGAAGTATGAGGTGATCAACAAAACCAAGGAGCCACTGAAACAGCTCCAAGAGCTGCTAAGATACCGGTTCAAGGATCAGTCTGGGATCGTTTACTGTCTCTCCAAAAGCGAATGTGTTGATGTCGCAAAGTTTCTAAACGAGAAATGCAAGGTGAAGACTGTTTATTATCACGCCGGTGTGCCTGCAAAACAGAGAGTTGATGTTCAGAAAAAATGGCAAACAGGGGAAGTCCGAATTGTTTGTGCAACCATTGCATTTGGGATGGGAATAGACAAAGCAGACGTGGTAAGTCAAGCCTGTTCATAGCTATTGCTACCAATATTCTGCCACTTTCTTCTGTTTTCTTAATCGGTTCTGGTGCAGCGTTTTGTTATACACAACACCTTATCGAAAGCGATAGAAAGTTACTACCAAGAGTCAGGGAGAGCAGGAAGGGACGGGCTTCCATCGCAATGCATTTGCTTGTACCAGAAGAAAGATTTTAGCAGAGTCGTTTGCATGTTGCGTAACGGACAAGGTCGAAACATGGAGAGATTCAAGTCTGCCATGGCTCAGGCCAGGAAGATGCAGCAATACTGTGAGCTCAAGGTAATATTGTAAACAGAGCCTCTGTTTATTGTAGATAATATGTTCAAGATTTTAGTTAATTTATCCTTTCTAAGTCTTTTGATCTATGAATGTTTCAGACTGAATGCAGAAGACAAATGTTACTAGAGCACTTTGGAGAGTCGTTCGAGCGAAGGATTTGTAAGAGCAGTTTAAATCCGTGTGATAACTGTGAAAAGAGTTAAAATCATCTTAATCAAATCTTCGATACCTTTTACCTAACAATGAATTTAATTGAGAAGTACTTCAGCCAAATTCCAAACAATGTGACACACACTGATAAACTTCTCACTGCGATTCAAAGCAAGAGCAGGCTCATTAGAAGGTCCCTCGAACTGGTCTTTGCATACATAAGAATATTCATGTGCTTTAGCAACAGCATAATATGCTGACTCAAAAGAGCTTTTGCTCAAAAACTCTTTAGCTTCCTCAAGCTTTTTGATCGATACACCATAACCTTGTACACATGCCTCGAAAGATTGCTTGAGCTGCTTGTCATTACCCGAGACTCTTGCAAGATCACTCATCAGTGCTTGAGTTTCCAAACCAAAAGCTCGAGTCTTTTTGACCGCGAGCTCGAGAAGACGATGGATGTTCATTGAGGTCGTTTTATGGCCTGTGGTTAGCCATGTGATGCAAAAGCGACGAGTGGAAGTTATTGAGTCTGAGCAAAGCTCGTTGAGGAACTCTTTTGTGACGATTTCGGTGGGAGAAAG